GCTAAGTTTAACTGATGATAAATGGTCATTTCTGTCTCAATTTTGCTTTCTTTTGGGGATGCTGAAATTGTTTGCATTTAAACTAAAATTAAGATCCTTTTCAAAAATCAATCAAAGCACAAAAAGAAGTGTGATAGTAATTTAAGATTTTACAAGTAAATGGATGAATGGTTAATCCTCAAATGATTCAGTTAATACTCATGCACAGTACAAAAAGTTGGTGGTGGCTCCTTAATTTCTATTCTGGGAAAAATATAGTCCTTAAAAAGCTACATGTATGCCCTTGTGCTTATATGAATTTGATGTACCAAATTATTTTAGTTTATACCGAGGCAAACAGACTGATCTTAAAATGTAGTAAAATCTGAGGTGTCCTTGGGATGCCGTATTATCACTTCAAATACCTGCAGCGAACTGTTACAGATAACTGAATAAAATCCTTTGATTACAATGCTTGAGAATTTTATAGTTTATTTATGAGCAAAACACTCATAAAAACTCCTTAATACATTTCATCTCATAGTTTTCCTCTAAAATGTTATCAATCAAAGACCATGCATGCATCTAATGGGTTTTGAGCAATCAACTGAAATTTTAATCCTATATATATTCAGAATTTTGAATTCTGTACTGCCAAAAAAATATATTTGATGCCGCATCCTAAGAGATGCTGTAATGGCCAGTAAAGAATTAGAATCCTCTAATGATGCAGGGTTTGCTTAATAAATAATAAACACACCTTACATATATTATATTCTTATAATTTCCTAAAGAATTTCATCATCCTTTTCCACCCTTAAGCTTGCAGTGACATATACATCATATGAAGTACTTAATTGATGTTCACGCATGTGATGGGACTTTAACCACATCTACAGTAATTTAGCACTTTCCACTGTTACCCCACAGCATTCAAACAAACAGGGTAAACTGATGGTGTTTGAACATGCAAACTGATGTTTATGGAAATTATTGTCAACCATAATGATAGCAGACATGCAGAACAAAGCAGACAAATTAATTCTGATCTAAAGACTGCATAATACAGAGAACAACCGAAAAATTGAATTTATGTGCAGGCTTGCTTATTTGTTTAGAATCTTACTCGAACACAAATACTGCCCAATATGTACTATATGTGGTAAAATAAACATTATACATGTATACATTCAGGGCCCAATTAAAACAAAAACTTCTGAAAAACTTCTGTACTCAATTTCAAAGTACATCTTATCATGAAAAATCTACAGCATAATTTTCTTTAAATGTACTCATTTATTTCTATACATTTAAATGCTACCATTTTCCACCAAAGATGTAAATCGTGATAAATAGTTTTAATTAATACCAAAATCAATAATGCAGCATAAAATGAAGAACATAATTACCCCTGAATCAATTAACGAAATCCAATGTCTTCTCCAAAAATCCAATATAGTTTCTGCAAAGGATATGAGCCATATAAGCCGAGAAAGTACTACAGCACACACAGTTTCCCCTCTCTCTTAAACTAATGATTTTTCCCCCAAATTGTCTTAGTAATTGCCTGCAATTGTCTGTTCATTATATGACTTCATTTGTACAAAGCTGGAAATACATGTGTGTGGTACGATTAAGGTCCATTATAACAGTCAATATCATTGGGAAGAGTTCAATGTAACTTTGGAATTACATAAAGATGGTAAAAACTTATATATCCATGCACCCAACAATTACATCAAATGATGATAACAGCTAAGCTCTGTAATATTGTTATGTCCCCTGATAAAGTTGAAAGGAGGATAAATTTTAATAAAATTAATGTATAAACGTTGTAAACATGAGTATTTTTTTTTTACAGAGTGTATAACAATTAACTATTTAACAATATTTATTGATTAACTGGTAGACATAGAATCGTCATGATTGACAAATATAGGCAGGGTGATTCCATGTTCTAACACCCCCCCCCCCCCCCCACCCAAAAAAAACCTTTTGTTTGCAAGTCTGCCATCATGAGGTGAGCTAAAAAACAATACCTTTTTACATGTTATTTCAAATGATATAAAATTATCACCCCATAATCGAGTTATCACTGGCCACTGATGTTTAATGGTGTGTATAAGACTGTGAACTATGGGGCATGTTCATGTATTAATGATATTCTGTATCCATTTCTAAGTTAGTTGTAATATTGATTCATTTCTCAATCTCAGAGTAACCAGAGAAAATTTTAAGAACCTCATTGAAGTATCAATACTCAAGTTTACCTTCTGAATATTAAATTAAACCATGAAGACACAAAAGTTTTAAAATCTATGGGTTATTCCTATTTCCAGTACTGTTATTAAGAACTAGGGCTATAAAATGGTGGGATATTTTCATGAATTTTCTGGTAGGAAACACTAACATTTTCAAATGTCCTTGCATGCCCAAGTGTATAACAACTACAAATATTACATGTATGATACATGTATCAGGTTTATATCTTCATAAAGGAATTTACTCACCATGTGACAGAACTCCATGATTTCTCCCTGTGTGCTAACAAGTACTGTAAATCACTTTTTATTCATGTTATTGCGAGAACTTAATTTATTTTTGCATCTGTATATGCTTGTGAAAATCTTATTCTTGCATTTATTTGTACTATACTAAAATGATATTATAGATACAACAGAAAACACAGACCACGAAAATTTTGTCTTGCTATTATCTATTCGTTTTTTATTACTTTTCAAACTTTAATAATATTTGGTACAGTAATTATTAATGACCATTCAAGCATTCTTCTTGTCCATAATTAACTGTTCATATATTCTTTTTTTTTCCACCCCCTCTGTTTTCCAAGTACTACAATAAGATGTGTGATATCTGCATGTCCCATAAATGATCTAAGCTGTTTATAAATAAAGCAACCATGGAAATTTTCTAAATGGACCAAGTCACCAGTAAACTGTACTGAAACAGAGTATTGACCCACTGAATGTGGCCAATTCACATTATACTTCACATTTAAATGAGTGAATTTTGCAAATTTGTCTTAATGAGAATTTGCTAATCCATTTAACCAATTAGGCATTTAATCTGAGATTCTTCTAATTCTAAGGTTACTTTTTCATATGAATGTTTGACTGAATTTAATGTCCACATTAAAAAGGCTCAGGGGCCACAATTCCCACCCGAGTCACCTTAGCTATGTGTCCCCCTCCTGCTAATATTCCCTTGAATCGTAATATTCACTTAATACTCATTACTGTGGCCCAAACCAGAGCCTTATTAAGAGATAATGTCTTAATGACAATTATGTTAGTGTACTCTACCTGTATGCTAATTTACATTGAAATTGGATCAAAATTATGGGAGCTAGGAAGCATTTTGAATGTCACAGAAATAACTATTCTTAGTAACCATGGCAACAACATTTATTGAAATCAAAAACCCATACACAGACTTTTGTTTCTTAGTGTAGTCTATTTGTGTGCCAATTTATGTTGAAATCCAAGACCAAAACTGTAGGAGGAGTAGCATTTGAAAGTATTTCAGAGAATTTTCTATTATTAGTAACCATGGCAACACCATTCATCAAAATAAAAAAACAGATAAAAAGAATTAGCGTTGTCTACTTGTGTGCCAAATTATATTGAAATCAGACCAAAACTGTAGGAAGAGTAGCATTTTGAAAGTATTTCACAGAAATTTCTTTTTTAAGTAACCATGGCAACACCATTCATCGAAATCAAAAACTGATAAATAGAGTTTTGTATCTTTAAGTTTAGTCTGCTTGTGTGCAAAGTTATATTGAAATCAGACCAAAACTGTAGGAGGAGTAGAATTTTGAAAAATTGTTTACAGACAGACAGACAAATAGATGGATGGACAATGGACACCTAACTATTGCATAAGCTCTTCTGATCTCTGATCAGTAGAGCTTCAAACCCACAGTTCCAGGACAGTAAAATTGGTTAGGGGGTGATAAGTTTTTGGTGAGGATAACTATGATACTCCTCAGATCAATTTTTTTTGGGGGGGGGAGTGCTCCACCTACCTACCAGGGATCATAATTTCAATAAACTTGAATTTACACACCTGATGATGCTTGCATAGCATATAAACAGACATACAGACATAGACTTATTGTGGCTGTGCTGTTCTTTAGGAAAAAAATTGAAGATTTTTTGTACATAACTTTGATCTCCTCATGAAGCTTCACCTTAACTCTCTCTCCCCCCCCCCCCCCCCCCCCCCCCCCCAATCTCCCAGATTTATGATTTGTAAGGACTTGAACAAGTGAATGTTCACTGTTGCAGTAAGCTCTAAAAAAATTAACTTTTCTGGCCCAGAGGTTCTTCAGAATTTTTTTTTTTAAAACCTACCCTAATTTTGCCTTTTCTTTATCATCTCCCCTTTATGAGGATATGGCTCTGCATTTGAACAATTTATTATTTCACAGAAATAATACTTGAATCCACATCACCAAAAGATGCTTTGTGGCAAGTTTGCATCGTTGAAATTGGTCCAGTGGTTCCATGGAAGTCCAAAATCACAAAAACATTAGCTATGAGCCTTTGGCTCAGGTGAGCTAAAAACATGTAAAGAGACAGAGAAATCTTGGATTGTGAGACTGCATAGTTGTCTTTGAATTATATGTGTAGCTAAAATTATCCTCCATGTACAAAACAATACAGAGGGGGCAAAGATTAAGTGTTACAGTGTTTACATATACATGTACAGCAACTGTGTGAACCAGTAGATATCAATATGCTAGCATCAGACTAAAAGACAATGACCTTAGCTGATTGTTTTGCATGTTCAAATATTGTAAACACTACCTAATATTTTGTAAACATTACTTTATGCTCAGTCTTCTTTATAAAGGTCAAATTATATCCAGGAAAATACCACTTGAGCTACGAGGGTTAGTATTATATCAAAATACTGTACAAATGTAAGTATTATTAACGCACGTACCTGAAAAAATTACATTTTAAAATAAAGGACACAGAAAGTGTTTTACTTACAGGTTGTTTTCTCTAGGGAAAGAGAAAGAAATGGTCACCTTGGTTGTTTTGGTGAGAACTAGTCACTAGGACAAAGTCCTTGATCACAAAAAATTTAAAGTAGTCAAATCCTGTCAACGCGGGTTTATTCCGCACTCACTAGAGTAGAAGACAATCCACATACTGTACATTAAGTCGTTACATAATTATAACACCACTACTTCGTGGAAAGCAGAAAAATATTTACTCAGTATTCCTTTAAAGTTGAACACGGATTAACACAGTAAATATAACGTCTTTAAGAAACAGCGACCTGCCAGTGAGAATTTAAGCTCCTCTCACAGACAATACTCTGACATCATTTAATTAACACCTCTAGATTACAATCCAATGGATATATCTATAATATATTGATACTTAAGCAGGACTGATACTGGAATCAATAGGTCTTAGAGGGGACTATCAATAAAGTAAGTGAATGAAAACAAGGGTTTCTTCTGACTTCCCATTAGCTATCACGAGTTCACGATTCACCACAAGTTTTCATCAACCTGAATCATAAAACTACAAAGGCTGTTTATAACTTTAAGATACTGCAATACAAACATCAAGTTCATGAAATAGAAGTACTAAGCCTATATTTAATTTTCTTTAATTTCTTAAATGCAATCATGCAATCCTCTTTATTCTTGAGATGATGCCAGTGCATACACTGATGTTTTTATGATCATGATGATAACGTAGTAAATTCCTTTGTATATATGTATGCTTGTATGAAAGCCAATAGGTGCATAACTTACTGTCAATAAAAGTTAGATAAGAAAATCAAATAATGGAGCACACATTAAGCACATGATAAACTGCTGAAGTAATTATCATTATCAGCTATGAAATATGGAGAGATTCATCATATACCATGTAAACAACAGCAATTCCACACACACCCACTTACATGTATTGATAAAACTAATAATATTCCTTGTATCTAAGGATATAAAGACAAACCAACTTTAGATATTTAATATGCTGCAGCTATCTGCACAATTTTGATGAATATAATATAAAGCAATTTACCTCAATCCATAGAATTATGGAAGACACTTTATGTTGACATCTGTAACTCATTAATATATAAAAAAAAAAAAGTTTCAGTTACAAATGATGTAACTGAACCATTAACAATGAATCATTCCCAAGTGATGACAAAAGAAAACATTAAAAATCATGGATTAATCAATAACATCAAAGCATATCAAGCATTAACATTATTTTAACCATATACCCTGTTATCATAAAGTATGGGTAAGACACTGTCCAGATGCTCTAGGGACATTTCTACTACCCATTGTGTTTCTGACCTTAAAAAAATCTGCAACCTTGACCTTGTATAAAGCAATATCACCTTAACTTTTCAAACAGCATCTTTTTCCTTGCTTTGAATAGATGTCAATGTATAACATGTATATAGAATATATCTGTGACCGAATTTCCTTCCCCATTCAAAGAATCACTTGACATGCATCTGCTTTAAAATGCCTATAACAGTTATGATAAATACAATGCTTGAAGCTGGTAGGCTAAAAACTTTATTTTGAATTCATATCTCAGTTGTAAGTCTGGAAAATGCAGCAAAAAATACCACAACAACAATAGTAAACAAGTTGATTATTTTTATAACAGACTTAGTGCTGGCAAGACAGCAGGATTTTTGGCAGGAAAAGCAGGATATTACAATGCCATAATTTCCTTGCATCTCTGTTTTAAAACAACTTTTTTTTTGTAATCAGCGCACCACTCCAAGCTGATCTAGACATTGAATGTAAAGCTTTAGCTAATTCTTCAACATCAAACAAAAGTTACCAATCCAATGTATCAATATATAAATATATTTGAATTCTACCATTAAAATAATTACTCAGTATTCAAAGTACCATACACACACACGACACATTGTCAACTTCATAGAGATTTTCAGAGACAAGCTTTATCTACACACAGAACAAGAGGCTGAAGAGGGTGAACAGTCACCTGAATAAAGTAAAACTTAGTGAAGAATCCATGAAATAGCCAGGGTATATAATTTTTATATGTTGACGGTGTGATCGTTACGAAGAGTGCAGCTTCTCATTCAATTTTAATTTATATCAGGCTTGTCTAACAGCACGTGCCATTTAATTGCTATGTATAGACTCTGACATCACATGACAACTGTATGTATTTTTGCATTACCAAGTCAAAGTTTGAACACTGTGACTTTTAACAAAAAATTAAATCTACAATTCATCTGCTTTAAATTCATTAAAATTCGAGGTGAGTGCATTTTTTTCTTTGAATTTCTTTTACCGCTAGAACATTGTTTGTGGCGTTATGTATTTCACAAAGGATTATGGGACCACAGATAAATGCGGCAAAAAATTTGTTTTAATCAATGTGCAAAGTCTGAATTTTCTCTTCACCAAGGCATATTGCTTAAAGAGCTCGCAGTGATGAGCGTTGCTTTGAGAGGCTCGCTGCACTCACTATTATATGCAAAATAAAATAGATATGTTACTCAAAAACAAGAGGAAAAGGATGAATAGGGATCAACAAAATAGTTATAAAGGTTATAATCAGCAACAACGCAGTACAATTCTTTTATCTGCATGTTTATTCTTTTATCTATTTACAGTGATCATCAGACAGGAGCAGCTCATCAGATCAAACGAGACCCAACTGTCAACAAGACCTGATCTATTTTGAAAAAAAAAACTCAAACACCTTTTCAACATAACAAATTAATATTTTATACAGGATCAAATTAACCAAATTAATCAATTGGAGAAAGATACATATCACACATGTTACTTGTTGTTTGATCTGCCCATCAGAGCAAAGTAAACAGTTAATTTTGAAATACTTTTGTAACCAAGTTATGAAATCATTGTTTATAATTATCAACTTGACTACCACAAAACTATGATACAACTATCCTCTCAGACCCATCAATATATATATTTAAATCCATGTGATCGCATTTTTGTATAAAATAGTCGTTCAGTTTTAATCATTATCTCATGTTCATACGGGAATGCCTAATTGAAGACCTACAGGTAATTGAAGACCTACAGAAGACCTACGGAAGACCTACAAAAATGGGGGATACATACAGCAAAACTGATATGATATTCTGATTAAGCATGTCCTAAATATGTAAAATACACAAAAAAGTTTTATAAAAAGAAGTTTTAAAGTGTATTTTTTAAGCTCGGTAAGGGGAACTATTTCTTCTCTCAGAAGACCTACAGCAAGAACGATAACTCGCGTAAATAACAAATCAGCTGTTCACCAAAACATATCAAGAAAATGTAATTATCAGAAAAATGTAATTAAAAAATAATATTTAAAGACGGAAAAAATCATTTGAGATACTTAATATATATACATCAAAGATAAAAAAAAAAATGCAATATTCAGTCAGACACAATTCTATTTTGTTAAAAAAAAATAATTAGTTATTAAAATCAGTAAAATTGTAAACACTGTACATAATTTATAATACCATCATATGTCAATCATAAAATCATTATAAATACATACACTTGTATATACGTTATATTTAGTATTTTACACGTGTTTATAAATAGATCAGTATAATTTTTAGTTCAGATTTGAATTGTTGATCATTAATAAAAATTCATTGTGATAGAATGATTTGTGTTCTTGTTATTAATAATACCTAGTAAGGTCATTTATAACATCTGTAAATTTTTATAAGATTTGCATTTATGTAGAGAATGAAAATATTAAAATTGCAGTTAAAAGAATTTGAAGTTATTTTTCAAGAACAACACAGACACAATCACTTTCAAAATCTCATTTTCCCCGAGTCAATGTATCATAATTTTTTTTTTAAATATGCATGCATTTCTTATGTGTGATAACATGCATGTTTATTATTTTATTCAATTTTAAAAATTGTATATTTTCTTTTAATTTAATTATTGAATGATATAATTTGAAGTTATTTTTCAAGAACAACACAGACACAATCACTTTCAAAATCTCATTTTCCCCGAGTCAATGTATCATAATTTTTTTTTTAAATATGCATGCATTTCTTATGTGTGATAACATGCATGTTTATTATTTTATTCAATTTTAAAAATTGTATATTTTCTTTTAATTTAATTATTGAATGATATACCTGGTATCTTCAAGATTGAAATAATGTACATGTATATTTTGGCTCAAAATGTAAAAGTAATAACACCTTATGTTATGAATCATATTATAGTACCTATTTCTTGGCATACAGCATGTTATCTGGAAATATACATCTAATAAAGTTATTAAATATTCCTCGTGAATGTCATATAAATGTGTTATATTGAAAAAAGATGACCATTTTGAATATTAAAAAAAATATTCAAAACGTATTTCATTTTAGTATTAAGTTATATTCTGAATAAATGCACAATCTGAATAAATGCACAATAATTTTGTTTATTCTTGCTAGCATTTTTAAGATGCATTATAAATATTTTTTTATATATATATCTTTGCTCTGTTGGATGCAAATTAACACTCATCAGAGCAAGTGGGATGTGTTGATAAATGCAATCAAAACACGGATATATCCTCAGGGTGTCTGTGTATACAACAAATTAGTGAAGATCGAAGCCCTTAGTACAAAGTAAAATTGGTTAATTGAGACAAATCCACAACATACATATCAATAATTTGAACTTGAATATTTAATATTTATCCCATAAAACATATTAAAAGAATTACAATATTAATTAAATATTAATTATAGATTTCAAGTAGAATATTAATTTGATAAATGAAATAATCATGATAATTATTTATATTTTTAACTTCATCAAAATTCATCATCCAGCTTATTTCTTTATCATAATTCATAATTGAAAAACTCAACAAAATCATTTGCAATTTTTTTTAATTTTCTCATATATATATTTTTCCTATAAACTTCACAATATAAATGAGCGTGTTGTTGTTTACAAGATAAGTCAGCCAGAGTTATCGTTCTTGTCGTAGGTCGTCTAAGAGAAGAAATAGTTCCCCTTACCGACTTAAAAAATACACTTTAAAACTTCTTTTTATAAAACTTTTTTGTGTATTTTACATATTTAGGACATGCTTAATCAGAATATCATATCAGTTTTGCTGTATGTATCCCCCATTTTTGTAGGTCTTCCGTAGGTCTTCTGTAG